CCCCCCCCTTAAAAGAAGGAGTCTGTTTTGGCGAGTTGTTGGCCACGCAGTGTCTGTTTGCATAACTTTGCGTTCTTTTCTGTTGAGCTGGCAAAGCTGACTTATCTACTGTGGCCACATATGTGGTAAGGTAACGATAAAAACTTTTCTTACTGACTTATTCTCTCCCTGTACCGTTAGCTACGCAAGGCAGAGAACAGTTGACGCCACGCTTGTCTGTCCCTGGCCACTTCCTCAATTTTGGCACATCCAGGCCGTGGATGATTACCTCATCCCTGATTGTGCTTCTGTAACTTCCACTTGGTCTACCTCTTTTTTTACCCACCTTGTCTCCAGTGCCATATCTGAGAGGGCAATATTATCGTACCTCTGGCATTCTCAAAATAAGTCCTGAATATCTCGGTCTTCTCCTTTTTTATGTCAATTTTATATTTTCAACCCCAGCTCTTTCCAACGCTACATTATTTGTAATAGATTCGTTCCATTTTATTAATAAAATTCTGCGCAGTCATTTTGTTTGAAAACTTTTGATTTGACAGTAGCCTACGTACGTTTTGGCCCGAACCTTGGCGTGTTTTTACCTAACTCTCTGAGATTTCTATTTTTTCTCATGACATCATGGTTTTGATTTGGCTCGTGTTTGAATGTAAAGCCTTGGGGAATCTGACACACCATTTATTTTCACTCTAATTTTGATGCCAAATTCCTGCCTTAATATTCTATTCTTAGTGGCATGTATTCCGTTCTAGTCATGCATTGACTTTTGTGAGCTTTGCTGCAAACTATAAACGTTTTAAATCTGCGTCTTTGATATTGTTAGTTCCGATGTGGAGATGTTATCAAGTTTTTTTTTGTTTTTTCCTGCTTATGGCATCATAACGTTTTTCGTTTGTCGCTGTTGTTGTTTTTTAAATCTTGCATGTAGATTTGTATGTCAATAGAATCTAGTGCTGACAGTAGTTGGTTCTAAATGCGTAGCTTTACCATTGCTATAATTTGCTTTCGCGTTTAAAATCTGTGCTTGACTACTCCGGTGCTTTGCTGCCTCAACTGACGTAACTGTCAGAAAGTAACCAGTGCCAGAAAATGTTTGTTTTTTTCCGTAGATAGATCGAACTGTTTCGGATTTTATGTGTTTTTCTTTACTGGAAATGTGGATGTTTTACTTCATGATTCCTTCTATGAGAAAGCTGTAATAATATGTCACCGGTGTCCAATTCCAACAGTACGTCCGCCAAATTTGGCAAACACTCTTTTTTTTATTATTATTACAAAATTATAGGTGATGCTATTATAAGTTTTTTTTTTAAAGAAAATAAAACCACTACCTGAATTTGACCAATTCTGGAAGAAAATAAGAAAGAAATTAGGATCTACATTATCTTTATTTTTTTGGACTAAATTAGTCCGTGACTTAATGTGTCAGAGACATGGCAAGGGCCTGGAAGCGACAATATACATTCCATATAGAATAAAGATTAGTGGTCCAGAATCAGAAGCAAGACGTCTCAAAAGGAGCCTGTTATTTGCTGGACTGCATTAATCATAGGAAGTTATATTTTAATGTGTTACTTGGTAGACTTAAATGAGTGGTCGATACACAATTCTAATGTAGCCTGCAAGGTAGTGTTAACAATGGAAGATTCCTTTCCGTAGTTAGAGACATTTTTGATAGACTTTGACCTTGCTTTTTTCATTCTTACTCCTGAACACGGTGCTTGCAAAGGCTATTTTCTTATCAATAGTAACATCTTGCTTATAAGCCACCTCCAAAACAGGCCAGGACTAAGAGTAGTAGGTTGGTTCAAGTCGTGCTAGATTTGCAACGGCAGAGGGAAAGTAGTCAGGCTTGACGCCCCGAACAGGGGAAATCGTTTGTCCTCCGAGAATTAGCTGATAAACTCTTTATGAGCCACGCGCCGATGGACCTCTTCCTTTCTTTACACGATATAATCTTGCGTTGATGCATCTTAGGACAGAGTGAAATTATGCGAGTGAGAGTTTCTCTGAAATGACATACATGGCTGTCGGAAAAGTGAAGGCCAGAACATGAACGAGACAGTTATGCATGTCTTGTGTGGGTTTATTGTCGCTTCAAACTGTAAAGGGGGGGGGGGGGGAGTAAACTGTTTGAGAACTCACATTCTGAGACAGCGCTTGAAGACGGGTTGTCTTTGTGACCTTCTTTAAAAACAAGCTTAGCTTCGTTATTCGTACAGATTTTTCAACTCTGTTTGCTTTATCTGAAACTTTTCAAAAAGCAGGCAGCAACTTACAAACTATGCAATAAGTATAAGTTTTGGATTTATGTGGGATAATAGTTCAAATGTGCCGCAAAATAACCGTTGGTACGGTGCTGGTTGGACATACTGCTACCTTAGAATAACAAAATTCTGTCTGACATTGTTTTGGCTGTTTCGAGTTACTTTGACAATGAGGTCAGAAACCAAAATGTTCTATCAACACTGTAAGATTATTCGGAGTCGATATCAAGATGTTCAAAGAATTGCATTCGAAAAAGTTTGACACATTTTTAACGTCAAATTTCTATTTAAGAATTTTAAATAGGTACTAAGCAGATATAACTTTGTAATTCTAAGGTAGCAATATGTGTCTGCTACGTGCTTGAAGAGTTCACAAGTGAAAGTTCCAAGCAGCCGTCTCCCTAAGGGCCGAGCCTAGAGGTTAGCGTAAATGTCCCTTTAGGGGATTTTAACCAAGTATGTTCCGTCGAAATTGCTCCAGACAGCTATCCATTGTCGAGGAGAAGAAGTGGTTGTCTAAGACTGGTGGGCGTCTTGGGCAGTGCCATTATGATTTAAAAGGCCGCAAGGGGGAAGCGGTAATTCGTGATCGTTTTCTCCAATGATTGTCTCGGAAGGTGGCCGTCACATCTGGTTCGACTGCATTTTTTCATTGTGGTCCAGCATGATATCAGCTGAGCTTACATGTGGAATAATTTATTAAATATTAGATATATGTAACAAGCTGTTGCATTATGGACTGATTCAGAAGAGAAATCGGAGAAGGAGAAGAATATAATAATAATAATAATAATAATAATAATAATAATAATAATAATAATAATAATAATAATAATAATAACAATAATAATAATAACAATAGTACCAATAATAATAAAATGCCAACGATGATGATGATGATGATGAGGAGGAGGAGGAGGAGGAGGAGGAGGAGGAGGAGGAGGAGGAAAAAAAATAATAATTACTATAGTAGGCCCTATAGTTTCTTTTCCAAACCTGATATTAGGCGACTCATCAGGTTTTTAGCCCTGAACACTTAGATGGGTGGAAGATGCACGTAAAAACTTCCTAACCCTAACCCACGTCACAGGCTCTCAAATTATCCCAAACTGACATCTTTTCTTTTACCCATGTACTCGTCAGTTGTATTACGCGTCGCGTACCACCATATTATTTCTGTATGGTAGCATAGAATTTTACTGTTTTTTCTTTACCCACATATTTTATTTAGGAAATGTCCTACTGAAATGTTTCATATGATTTTGTTGTTTGATATGCCTTTATAATAGCTAGCAGTTCATGGTACTTTTTTAAATAATAATCTTTGAATTCAAACTCAACCCTGGTCTATAGTTCATTTACACTTGTCGGGCATATTCCACTTTTTTCCTACGGGATGGTGTGACTTCATGCTCCTCCTTTCAATTTCTCACACTAGATCTATGTCTAGTAGATCTAGGGTGATTATTTTGTGCAAGAACGAAAACAAACTTAACAATCTTATTATGTTTTCAATTTGGCCCTAGTTGTGTGCGTAGATACAAAACAAATTACTATTTCACTAATTGATATTCTTTTCAAAATCGTTTTACTTTAACATTTGTGTGTAAACTGTTACTCTTATTCTGTTACATATGTTATTTAGTATGTATATACACGTAGTCTAGGCCATCTCACTACATTCTATTCAGCTTATAGAATCTCGGTTGTATGGTATATAGACTGACACTTTAATTGAATAACAAATGTATCATTTGTTAATCGTTCTTTGAAAAGAAAATTAGTTTAATTTTGATCAGAGTATTACGGCACTTGCAACACAAATAGGTCATAAGTTTCAAAGATTAGAGAGGTTACTTAAGACTAACAATATAAAGAAAAATGGAAGAGAAATTAGGACGATAGTTGTTTGATAGAAAAAAAGGAACATTCAAACCACACCATAGCACCAGCCAACCACTTTGTTTCCTGTCAAACATCTATTTCCTTTACCTCTCTTCTGTCTTTTCTCTGTCTGTTGCTCCTAAGTAACACCTCTAATCTTCGAATCCTATATGACCGATTCGTGTTGCAAATGCCGTAAAACGATTACAAAGGCTAAAATAGCGAATGGAATGGAATCGTATTTCACAAGAGTTTATTTTAGGATGACTCTTATATTATGTAACTCCATTGCTCCGGGTCTTCTTTTCACCATTGTGCTTATGTGTATAAAATTAATATATGGCTGAGAAAGTTTTGAGAAACCATATGTGGGTGAACTGTTTTTCTTGTTATAAATATAAAATGTTTTTCTTCTGTTTGTGAAGTGTCACTCTCAGTAATCATGGCATCGATGTAAAGCACTCAAAGCTTATACTTGGATGGGAAAGAGAAATGCAGAAATGCGAACTATTATTTTTATTTTTTTATTGTGCTTCTTATTTTTTTAAATTATATCATCATCACCATCATCATCAGCGTCAGCATCACCATCATCATCATCGTCATCATCGTCATCATCGTCATCATCATCATCATCATCATCATCATCATTATTATTATTATTATTATTATTATTATTATATATTATTATTATTATTATCATTATTATTATTATTATTATTATTATTATTATTACTATTACATAGTATTGTACTATTATTATTATTATTGGGCTTTTTACTATTATTATTATTATTATTATTTTATTTTTACTATTACATAGTATTATTATTATTCATATTATTTTATTATTAGAATTATTATTATTATTGCTATTATTGTTGTTATTGTTATTATTGTTTATTATTATTATTATTATTATTATTGTTGTTGTTGTTATTATTATCATCGATCGTCACCATCATCATTATTATTACTGTTATTATCTTCATTGTTATTTTTATAATTATCATCATCATCATTTTATTCATCCTCATCATCATCGTCACCAGAGATCCGAGTCGAAGACGCCAATCGCGCACGACAACTACTCGCTACCCGACTCCACCATCACGTTCCCGCGTCGCTACAACTCCCAGGAGTCCATGAGCAAGTCGGCCTTTTCCCGGCACACGCGCAGGGACTCGGACAACGACTCCATTGACAAACTGGAGCTGGAGAAATCGGATCGGTGAGAGGGGGAGGAGCGGTGGTTTTGTTGTTTTTGGTTGGGTTTTTTTTTTTTTTTTTGTTTCTTCGGGAAGGAGGGTTGTTGGGGTGTTGTTGTTTTTTTTCAATTCTTCTGTGGGGTGTTTTTTGTACCTGGTTTTTTTTTAATGGGGGGGGGGATTGTTTTTTTAGAGGGGATGTTTTTGTGTTTTTCTTTGGGGGGGAAGGGGTCGTTTAGTTGGGTTTTTTTAGTTGGGTTTTGCTGTGTGGGTTTTTTGGGGTCGGGGGGGGGGGGGTTGCGAGCGTTGTTGTTACTGGCTGTTTTTATTTATTGGTGGTGGTGGTCATCGTTGTCAAGATTATCTTGTTGTTGTTGTACTTCTTCTTCTTCTTCTTTTTCTTCTTCTTCTTTTTCTTCTTCTTCTTCTTCTTCTTCTTCTTCTTCTTCTTCTTCTTCTTCTTCTTCTTCTTCTTCTTCTTCTTCTTTTTCTTCTTCTTCTTCTTCTTCTTCTTCTTCTTCTTCTTCTTCTTCTTCTTCTTCTTCTTCTTCTTCTTCTTCTTCTTTTTCTTCTTTTTCTTCCTCTTCTCCTCCTCGTCCTCCTACTCCTCCTACTCATCCTCCCCTCCCTCCCACATCCCTGTATCCCTCTCTTCCTCTTCTTTCTCTCCTCCTCCTCCTGCTCCTCCTCCTCCTCCCACTCTTCCCTATCTCTCTATTTTTTTCTCTCCCTCTTCTGACTGGTATATATTATCCTATTTCTTTTCTTTCCTCTATTTTCTCCGTCTATCTGCCTTATTGAGTCGATATTCCTCTCTTTACTCCAACTGGACCTAAAGCCACCCTGTTGCCGCCCTCTACAGGTTTTCCTACAACAAGACTCCAGACAACATGTCGGAGAAATCGTCGAGGTCCGCCAAGAACCGCGGGCGACTCGGAGACAACAGACTCGGCTCCACCACCAAAGATCCCGGTTCTGTCAACGGCTACGGGAGCAAGGAGAGGCTCAGTGATAGGGACAAGGGACGCCGGGACCGGAGCAGGGATCGATACTATCGGGATCGGGATTACAGACGAGACGACAGCGATCGCGATACTCCCAGGTCTGATGACGAGGATCGGGATCGGGATCGTGGGTATCGGAGGAGGAGTAGTCGAGAAAGGAGTCGGGATCGAGATTACTCCTATAGTGATGATAGTGATTATGAGAGGGAGAGAAGAAGGCGGAGGAGGAGGAGAAGGAGTTATGATAGATACAGTGATGAAGATAGTGATTCGGAGTATGAAAGAGAAAGGAGGAGGCGGAGGAGGAGTAGGGATCGATACAGCCGGGATAGGTGCGATGATCGAGACAGGTACGACAGTGACAGGGATCGTAAGAGTGAGAAGGACTTTGATAGGGAGTCAGATCGTCCGCGGAGAAGAAGCAGCAGAGAAAGAGAGAGACACCGAGACAGTTACGAAGATGACAGAGACAAGGAAAAGTACAGCGGGGATGACAGTAGGGACAGAAAAGGATTTGATGATAGCAGTAGAGGAGAGAAACCCGGAAAGGACAGGGAAGACAGAGAGAGGGATCAATACTACAACACCGACAAACCAGATTCGAGAGGAGGACGCAGGAGTGCGGAGAGAAAGCCGTACGGAGACGGGGAAGATGTCGTGTCGGACAGAGCACAGGACAGACCGACAGAGTCTCAGCCGTCGCGATACGAGAACAGGCGGTCGAGAAGCAGAGAGAACGTACGACCTGCCAGAGATGAAGAGATAGCCCCGCCCCCTAAGAGCGAGGAACTCCGACAGAGAGCGCCAGCAGACAACTACCCGAGAAGGCCTCCTGCGATGAACGCTGCTCCGACAGGAAATGATGCAAACAACAGCGGCACGGCTGAGCCAGTGAGAACGTACCGTAGGCGGAGCAGCGATGAGAGACGAGGGAGGAGGAGGAGCAGGGGTCCCCAGCCCAGTGACGAGTACGCTCCCCCAGAGTATGAAGATGTTGCGGTTTTACCAGAGCTTGCTGGGGGGTATAAAGAGGCTGCTGTTTGATTCCAGCCCAAAATGTTCTGCTTCCTGTAGGGTATACAAAGATCCTGCTGATTGATTCGAGTCCTTAGTGAAGTTCTTTCTTTGAGCTATACAATAACCAGTGCGAGGCTGCTGGTTGATTCCAGTCTATAGAGTAGTTCTTTCTTTGGGGTATACAAAGATTCTGCTGTTTGATACTAGTCTATAGTGTAGTTCCCTTTGGGATATGCAATCAGCTGTTTGATCCCATGCCAGTCCATGGTGTAGCTCTTTTTGTGGGGATAGCCTGCGAAATGACTGCTTTTTAATTCCATCCATAAAATGTCATTCTTTCTCCAGAGGCACATGTTTTTTCCATCTTTATTTTTTTCCAAATTTTATGGACACCTGGTGTTTAGTATTCCTCCAGCCATCTGTTTAAGTGGGCAGTACAGGGGTTCTTTTTTGTTGTCTTCTATAGTTCAAAGATGCAGCTATTTGAATTGCCGTTGAAAGATTTTTAAAATTTTAAAATGTTCAAACTTGCAGCTATTTGAATTGACCGTAGTGAATTTTTTTTTTTTTTAAATCAAAGAGGCAGCCATTGTAAAAATAGCCTGCATAGGTACACATCATAATGCATAGACTGGCTTAACTGGCTGTTTGATTTCAATTCAATTTCAACACTTTGAGAGTAGAAATTCTGTCAGTGGTTTCAATTGTAGCTCACACATTATTGGTCTCTGGAAGAAGAAAAGTGCCTTTGTGAACCAATCAAATGTGTCCTGTTTGGGATTTCCCTTTCTTGCGTCCCTGTCAATGTACATCCTTGCCTGTGAGTTTTATTAACTGTTTCATTTTTTTCTTTTCCATACCCAAACAGTACTGAGTAAATATATGGAGTTGTGAGGAATTGTGTTGCCAACACCGTTTAGAAAAGAAGGATGGAGTAAACATTTTGAGCTTTCTTCAAGATTTAACTTGTTCTAGATTCTGAGAATCAAGAAGTGATCTTAGGAAATTACGTAAATAAGATAGATTTGATATTAATAGTAGCTCACCCTACCAGACCTCACTTCTATGGAATTTAACGGGGGGGAGGGGAGAGATTGAAATTAAGGTAGCTTCACATCCCCAAATCGCTACCGGTACTTCTCCACTTATGCAAGAGACATTTCTTTGGTATGTGGGAAAAGTTGCCTTTGAAGAAGAGGGGGGTGGGGGTCTGTAGGTCTATTTTATTTTTTAGTCAGTAATCTGTCCAAGCTCTTTCCTTGGGCTGTAAAGAGGTGTCTAATTGATTCCAGCGAAAACCAGACAGACAGTATAGCCCCCCGTATAGCCACTGGTTCTGTCACATCAGTAGTATCCAACAATGTTGTAGATCTCAGTGTAAATAGCGGTCTTTGCTTAAAATGGATTCTGATAAAAAATCATTTTGAAACTTAATAATGGCTTGCATGTGACCCCTGCCCATACAGTGAGGTAACGAGACAAGATTGTTTTAATTGACTAGGGGTATGGATGGGGAGAGGTAGGGTTACTGTACCGGCGCCTATGGTGCAGCTGTTTTCGGCGCTTTGCTGTTGCACACGGGAGGCCCGAGTTCGATTCCCGAATGCGGATAAATATTTGTTGAGTGTCTCAGTATTTCTGCTTGGATGTTGTATCTCTCTCAGCCCGAGTTGGTCCTGACAGGCATGGTTAGAAGCCAGCCTTCTAAATTATCTGAATTGTGTTGGTGGGTGGCGTTAAAACATCTACATTTATTATTTTTTCAAGGGAAAAAACACTTGACATCCTCTTTAGCAAAATCTGCTGCAATGCCTTTATTTGTCTTTGTAGTGTCAGTTTGCTGAACTAGTCTTCCTCATCGCTGACAGATTTACATTCCCGTGAGTGTGTTTCTGTTGGGTTTTTTTCAAGCTGTTAGAGTTAGATCATCCATGTACTTCACAGCCTTCACAAGATTCATAAGTAGAATCTACATGAGTGTTTTAACTTCATAACTTAGCCATGGACTGTTTGTGCTAACTTTGAAAAATGTGTCACGATGCGGTGGAATCAGGCGCTCATCATTGTTTTGTTTGGGCATATGGAGTTATTGGTATCATCTTAAAGCGTTTTTATTTGTCCTGCTTTTGTTTGATAATCAAAGTGCCCATTTATTTTGAACAGAAGTCGAGATATTGGCAACTGAAGGAGATAGGGGTCGCCTGGTGTGAGGGGAAAATTAGTTAGAAAATGGTTGTCAAAGTTTAGCGACTTCCAAACTTGAGTAGAGTCTATACTAGGAAAACTGCAATTTTACTATTTTGGTGCCTTTGATGATCAACATTTTTCAGTAAACTCCACAGAGAAATATGTTCTTTTTTCTTTTTCAAGATAAAAGGTGTTGAACCAAAAAAACAAAGTTCGATAAAAATTGCTCAACATGCGGCAAAATGCCAGTTTCTTTGACGAGCGCCTGATTGCACCACAGTACCGCACAATTACTCTGAGACTCAGCTAGAAACACTTGCGATTGATGAAAAGATGAGATGATAGCTGTTATGATTATAATTTCACCTGCATATATGAATATTTCTTCAAACCTCTACAATATTGTCCTTGCAGCCCACAATTCTGACACATAAAATGCTTTAAGAGACATATGGTATAACTTAAGCTACCGAAACTCCTGTTACATTTCCTTTTATGCTGTATAAAGGTGTAAGATTTGTTGCTGATGTTGATTCAGCCTACATGCTAATGAATACCATGTGTAGATAGTTGTCCTGTATGTGTGCTTGATCTAGAATGATAAGAATGATCATTATCATTCACCTCTTTCACCCTGGTACTGCCAAGAAGGGCTCTCCACCTGTACACCTATTGTTTTCTGTAAATAACATCATCACATGACCCTTTCAGGCGCACGGACCAACTTGCCATACGGTAAACTTACACTTGGTCTACTCTCAGTCGACGCCAATTCTTCTTGTCATTTGCTAAAGTACCGTAATCTGGGGTTACTTAGGCCTCTCGAGGTTACTAAGGCCATTAACCAGAAATATATTTCAACCACATTTGGGTCTCAGTTATGATTGTTTGTAACTATTATCAGTCTGTGCAACCAGGTGCATTAGACTATTAGAGACAAATTTCATTTACTTTTAGTTTACATAAATAAGTATATATCAGCTGGAAGCATTTTGTGACGTATTCCAGCATAATGTTTACCGGTACTTAGATTGTGGTTGAAAAGTTTGGTAAATAAGTGAGGTGCTGAGATTATTTTGACTAGTTTGAGTGTCTTATTCTGGTTTCTGTGTGAGATATAGATTCCACCATCGTCCACACAAGATCAGAATGTCTAACATGGTTTATGTAATTTAATGTGCTATGTATGTTGATGTCCTCTTTCCCTTTCTTGTTTTACTTCTTTAGACAACCGTTAAGAGAGAAAAAAAAACAGGCATAAGTTCTTACCCTGAATGTCTCAAAATATTTATTGAGCCTGGCAACCTGTAGAAAGATCTGGTACATAATATATATGTCAGGCTTTGAAAACCCACGACATTTTTTGGTGCTTCTTTGTGGTTTTAACTGGGAACATGGCGATGTAACAGTGGCTGCTGTGCCCGACTGAATCTCTTCTTAGGCTTTAATTTAACTTTAAAGTATTCGTTGTAAATGTGCCATCTTCTGAGGCAAAACTTGGTATCTCGTCTTGCCTCTCCGCTTTGGTGGGTAGAGTACGTATTTTGGTTTTGAAAAATTGGCAGCTTTTTTTACTTTGCTGTCTTTTTCTTTCTTCTCGTACGCCTGCTTGAGCTCAGGGAGTGACTGGCTGTTTGATCTTCTTCTCAGAGCGCAGTTGACTTTTATGTAAATGGCGGTTTTTAGCTAGATAATAAATGATTAATCATTTCTTGCCTGGCCTGACAGACAGCCACGTTTTCGAAGGTCATTTTACACTGACTTGAGTGGCTTCAAGTTTTTGAGTAGCATTATAATTTTATAATTTTGCCAGGGCGGCATCCTGAAGAGCCTACTCTTTCCGATTCTAGAACCGCTAAGGTATCTTTAATTAAGGTACAAAACTTCCCGCACAGAACCTCAGAAAGGGTTCGTGTGCATCCAAGTAGACTTGTTCTCGATCCTACCTACCTTAGCCCTCCCTGTACTTCGATATTTTGCAAACATAGAGAGCTTCATGTTCCCCTTTTGGGCCATACTTTTATAATGGAAAATACTTGTTCCATTTTTTTGTATCATATTGTTAGATAGGACAATATAATAAATATTTGCTACATTCATTGCTAATTCATTGCAGAAGCACATTTTAAGCTGTGGGTGTTGCTTCAACAAGTTCATCTGAGGTAATGTTCTGCAAGAAATAATAGTATGGTTGTTTTTTGTTTTGATTTTTTGCTTCTCCTGAAAACTTTGTATTTTGACACAAAACAAAGATGGAGGACGAGGTCGAGGTGAACCTCAGCATTGTTGTACAAATCCTTTCTACACTTCCATCTATAAATGTATATCAAAGGCTATATAACAGACAGAAATATTTCATTAATATTTTCTCCATTTATTTTTAAATCAATTATTGTCACAAAAAATGACCGATCAGTCTGATTGGACCTTACAGAACTGTATATAAGTCATGTGTAAATAGTTTTTACAGTACATGTGGCATGCCTGATACATGTATAGACTTACAGACACAATATGCTGTCGTTCAGTTGTGTTGAGCAAAATCATTTGTCAGGTTGATTTACTCTAATTTTGCCAAGACAGTTTTACAGAATTACATAATGTGTTTCCTGCTTCCTTATAGTAGATTTACTTATTTGTTTAGCCAAATCTCATGGGTAATTTTTGATGAAAGATTTTCTGTGAATGACCTTCTCAGAACTGGTTACTTCTCTTTGCCTTCTGAAACATTTGTGTTTTAATTTTTAATGTGCCATACACGTTTGCCCCAATTCAGTGATAATATCACTTCATGGTGTTTCTCAACAAAGCAGAAACATACATAAAGTACCTAGCAGTTTTACTCTGTGTTTGTTAAGCGCAGTGAAGTTCATTAGATCTACCCTGTTGTGCCAAACGAGAAGGTTCCAACCCATATGTGTTTGTCAAGTAATTTCTGAAGTGCAAAATTGGCTGCTCGTGTAGAGTAAACAAAGCTAGGCTCCTCTTCATTTTGTTTGTTTTGAGTAAAAGAGAAGAACTTCAACACAATAGTGTAGTGGCCATTTAGTGCAGAGAAACTGAAAGACAGTCAGACAGACAGAAGGAAAGAAAAAAAAGTAGGACCTACCAGGCCAGAGGCACCCTCCTATCACCCGCTGACTCCCCGATGAATTATAGAGAGATGCCGCCTGATTGCTGCGCATTATGATTTATAGTTGTAAGCGAATAGATTTTGCGAAAACGTTGCACTTACTTTTCCCCGATTCTTAGTGAATGTACGCATGTAGCAAATCTATTTCAGGGCAAGAACTAGGACATAAAGAATAACGTGGACGTGGTAGTACATGCATAAGGGATACCTAAAGGCTACTTCTGTTGTCCACATTCTGACGATCTTGTATTGTGCTGAAAAAACAACAAAATTTGAAGACATTTAACATTCGTTATTTTGCTTTGAAAGGCCTATATATATATATATATATATATGTATATATAAATCAATGTTCATATACCCTAAGTAGAGACAACAACATTGGTTTGTTGTTTTTTAAAATAAAAATGGTTTCATACTTTTTAAAATTGCATCTAAATGGTGTATCTTTTCTTGCTTTTTCTCCACTTTTGAAATTTGAATTTCCGCAAAATATTCTTAGAGCACTTGCAACTGATGATAGGACAGATTACAGAAACTGCAATGAAAGATATTTTCAAAATTTGGGACTAATTAGATTTGAACAGCTTGTAATAATACCTCAAGGATATAATATTTTAAGAGGTACATCATGCTCTGAGACCGAATGTGTAAGAGTTGAGGTCTACTTCTAGTGGTCACATGTTGTCACTGTGTTGGCCTGGTGGTGTACTGATTGGTTCATGATTATTCTTGCAACAATGTTATGTACTGTGTGTACCCAGCCACTGCTATCATTTTGCCACAAGCTTGTTATTGTATTAAAAAAGTCCACAGGAAAACTGCTGCCCCGTGTTTTTCACACATTTGAGGAAACACCTTCTTTTGAACACTTTTATTGTTAACAACATTCCTTTGCAATTATGCAGTAAAAGTAGATAAACTTATGACACCGTGATTGTTTGGAGCATGGGTCAAAGAGTTCATCACGTCATTTTTAAGATATCTTTATGGCAGCTCTCTGTTTGGAAACTTCGTGGAATTTCACGCAATGTCTTACGGCAGCTTTAAGTGTAGACATAGGCCTTCTATGTTCTTAATGCTCCTGTCTAGATTGCC